TCTAATGTCCTGCCCTTCCGAAGTTTCTCCCTTTCCTGTTGTTGTCCACGTGTCCTCTTGGTTACTATTATTCCGCTGCGCTGTTCCCCAGCCCATGATGATGATGATGCAAATGTGTTGTTGTTGTTTTTCTCGTTGGTTTACTTGTTGCATTGTGCACATTGGCATCTGGTGAATGTTGCATCTATGCTGCTGGTTGTTGCCACTTTCATCATTGCTAGATCCTAGGCTGTTAGTGCATTTCACTTTCTGATATGCTACACTCGATCTATTGGTGGGGAGCGTCACCTGCTGGAAAACGGGTCCAGCGTCCCATATGCAGAAATACATCAAAGCAAGCAGACTTGTGGTGGGAGGGGGGAACCTCTTCACCCTTAACCAAGGTGCCAGATACCTACTGCTACAGCCTAGTTCCTCCCTTCCCCCAGAGATATGCCCCTTTAGATATATGTGTGTATATATATGCATCTAGACTTGACCGAGTCCTATCAATGCCAGCTCTCTTCAAACCCTTCTCTTCCTCTAGGTGCTGCTGGCTCTGCCTCTTCCGTCATTCCCAACAGTCCCGCTGTGCCCCCCTCGGTCCTCTGTCCTGTTGCATCACTCTCCCCCATACCACGAGGCTCCTACCAGACTGTTAGCGAGGGGGGGGAAGAAATCCGGGAATTCGCTGCTCGGCCGCATTGGGATTGAGTCATCCAGCGTAGTCCAGTCGTTGAAGAGGAGCTTGTAGTCTCGAGTAATCGGCTTGTTATCCCCCTTTCCCCCTTGTCCCCCATTACCCCCTTCCCATTCCACCTTTCCTATCCTCCCCCCCGTTCCCCCCCGAGCCAGCTCTTGCAGAAATCTTGTATCCTCTGTCTTATTTCGTTCTCTGTGTAAATGTGTTTTATCTGTGTTTTGAGTTCCTCCCATCTTGCGGTTATGTTTATGTGAATCTGTTGTTGTATGCTCTCCGTAAATTCTGGCCCTTCCAGCCTCACTCCTTCCATTTCGTAAGTGCAGCGACGTCTCCAAAGTGCCCACAATACTGCCCTTCATCCTTGTTGAAAGATGTTGAGGGTGAAGTCGTCCCGCTGATCGAAAGGCCATCGTTCAAATAACAGGGTTTTCCTCTCCCATGGCCAGGGTACCCCTATTCCTAACTGATCCCATACTCTGTCCCACCAGCGCCAGAGCCAGACCGCTCCGGGGCATTGCAAAAAGATGTGTTCTATTGTTTTTGGTTTCTTTCTAGAAGGGAATGCATTAGAGCATAGTCACACCAGGGGAGCGCAAGTCCTCTCTGTTCCAGGGTGGTCCTGTCTATCAGCCAGTTATTGGTTGGCAGACAGTAGTGTTCCATCTGCCATTGCAGGGAGGCCAGATTTGCTGGCTTCTTTTTGGTTAGTTGAAACCATTTCACGTCTCTCAGCGATTCTTTGCTGATATTCAGATGTTTCATCCATCTTGCTTCCACCTGGTCCCTCAAGTTGATTTTTGGGCGGAGTAATCTGTATGTTGCTTTGACTGTTAAGTTATACAACGTTTTGGTGCTGGATTTGCCTCTGCCAGTTGTGTTTGTCCATTTCCATTCCAAGGGGTCCAGGGGTAGATAGGATATCGACGTGTCCGGGGAGAATGCCACCCATCTGTCCCCCTCCTGCAACATCCTAATTCGCGAGAGGTCGCTCCCTCAAGGAGCTGTATCTGTTCTGGGCTGGTCTTATGAAGGAGATTTCCGTTATCGATTTTGAATGTGTCCACCACCACAGGTCCCTTGGGATCACAACTCACCACATTGCCCAACTCCGCCTGACGACCCCGAATTGCTACCTAGTCGGACTCTTGTATCGAAGGTCCGTTTCTCAAAATTTTCCACCAATTCAAGGGGACACATTCTATCAGATTTTCCATCGCCTGCTCTGGCCTGTGGCAGTATCTCATTTTTCCCCTGAGACTCTCCCGTGATCCAGTCCCTCCTGTCTACGCCCCAGATGTCCCTGATTCTCAGAAGCCCCCTTTTAGCCCATCCTTTCCAAGGGGAATCCAGGCACTGTAACATTTGACCCCTTAGATTGGTTATCCTTTTGTTCCCAAACAATGGCTGTCGGGCCACTTCTTCCCATCTCTCGGGTGATGTTTTGTCCGGCAGGGGAACGGTCCTCCATGTTTGTAGGAGGGTTGGCCAGAAGGGGTCATTACGCAGATCCATTCTTGCCTCTTGTCTTGGCAAGTTAGTAGGGAGATTTTCTTGTTGAGACTGTCACCTTGGAATTGCCCATTCTGTGTTTTCAATCCATGTAAGCGAGTTGATATGGGCCGGTGCTTCTGGGGCCAGCCTTGAGATCTGTTCCAAGGCGAACTCTTTCCAAGGGATATGTGGGCAGAAGAGCAGGCGCTTGAGCCATTGTATGGCCAATGCCTTGACGTGTGTCGTAGGGTCAATTATGCCCAACCCCCTTTTTACTTTGGGTTGGGTAATCGACTGCCATGCCACTCTGCTTATCACATTCTGTTTTTCGTGGTCCCCCGACCATAAAAATGCAGCTATCTGCCGCTGGAGGGGGCGCAGAGTGGCCTTGTCTAGCCCCCAGATGGCTGACATATACCAAAAAGTGGCAAGCACGACATTGCTGATCACCAAAGTTCTTCCTAACAACGAGGTGTGTTTGTATTTCCATAATGTCAGCTTTTCCAGTGGGGGTCTGGCTATCCATTCGTTGTTTATTGTTGGTCTGCCAATGGCTGTCAGGGAGACTCCCAGGACCCTGATCGGGGCCTCTTGAGGTAACCACCTCACCTTCGGTTGTTCCGGGGGTCTTACACCTTGATGATGAATCCACCATCCTAGAGTTTTGTTTCCCCAGTTTACTCTCATGTCATATAGGTTACGGAAGCGATCCATCATATGCTGGACTTCTTTCATCGATGCTTGGGTTGCATCTACCATGAGGGTCAGATCGTCAGCGAACATAGAGTAAACTGGGATAGCTTATTTTGGTATCGAGGACAATTGTATTTTTTGTATATCTTTCTGATTTCTTAAATTTGGTGCGAGTGCTTCCATGATTATGACAAAGAGGAAAGGAGTCAGCGGGTCTCTCTGTCTCATCGATCTTTGCAAGGTGATTGGTGGTGCCAGGTTGCCATTGACCATGACTCTAGTCGTTGCATTCCTATGAAGGATCTGCACCCATCGTCTGAATATGGGTCCGAAGTTAAGTTTTCCCTTACTATTTTTGTGCAGGCTGCTGTAGATGTCAGCAACGGACCTTGATGGACGTTTGGGTCCTCCAGGGCTTCTATCGTTGATCGCCCAAGTTTTGCTTTAGCCAGTGCAAAAAATCTTGTGTCCATGGTTCCTTCGATGTTGTACTTGTGCAGCTTTCCTCGAATCCTGATACCTTGCCATCGATGTTTCATTCGTTCCAAGATCCAAGTTTCCAGCGACCGTATTTCATCGGATAGTTTTGTTAGCCTGATGGCATCACTCATGTTGTCTACTTGTTGTTGGAGTTCTGACAATCTGTGTTGGAGATCTATTTCTTCTGCATTGCGCTTAGCTGCGAGTAATCTTGAGTATTCATTGCACTTGCGGCCCAGGAATGTCAGGCCGTTGTTGAACCATACTATGTCATCCTGGA